AAGAAAAAGGAAGCCATGCTCTTCCCCTCTGAAAATGAGAAGATTTCTAAACAGCTTCACCTTTGTTATAATATTGTGAAAGATCATTATGTTCGAGTTTCAGATAATAATCAAATCATTTCTGGATGGGAAAATGGTGTATGGAAAATGGAAAACATGAAACAGACTGTAGAAACAGACTGGAACATGGTAACTTAATGCAGGAAACTGTTTAAAATCTTTGTCGTTGTTTAAACATATTTTTCAGTTGTGCATTATGTAAAAACTGATACGTCAAAATTACTTTTAGTATTCCTTAAACTTGTAAAAGAAAATTGTGTTCCCAACATTTAATCAAGAGATCATAAGAAATTTGTGCATTTATAACAAGGAAGTGTTTTCATTAGAGGTTGAATTTAATGCTTTCATTGGGAAAAATAATCAAGTAAATGACCAATCCATGTGACTAATTTTTGCATAAATATATAAAGTATATTGTTATTTAACTTCTTCATAAGTATGTATTGATAGCCTACTAAGGTGGACTATAATGGAATATAGCATGTAGTTCAAAGTCCCAAGAGCTAACCATTTAATACACCTTCATTGCATAACAATACGAATGGTTGAACAGTAATATTAGTTATTTCTACTCTGTCTTAAAGAATAAAGAAATGGATTGCTAGGACTATTGTAGTTCCCATATGCCAACTTGTATATTGTTGTCCCATTATCTGTAACAAGTAAGAGGCTTTGCTTTTAGTCTGCCCTACCCCTTAGACAAGCACCAGAAATAAACTCAGAGTTATTCAAATGACCTCACTAGATCTAACCATGTTACTGATATATTTTCATAGGAGTTAATGAACTTATAGGGAGTTTTTAAAGTTAACATGACAAATGTTTGAATGGGAAGGGAATTGTTCACTTGTAAGACCTTGGATAGATTAAAGAGTAACAGCATCTACTATATGCTTATCATTGTTGTAGGCAGTAATCAGAGTACAGAAGGCATGCAGAGTTGAGGTCCCTGCTTTTTTTCTAATCATAAGTTTTTATTTTAAAACTTATCTTGGTGATCTTTTTATATTAAACCAAGAATAGCTTATAGCATTATTAAAATTGTAGATTTAGGAACTTCCTTCTTTAGTCAAAGAAGGGCCTATAAAATGAAATATAAAGTTTAAAATTTCAAGATAGGAATCTGTATTTGAATATGAATCTGTAATCGATTATATAGTTGATGAGGGCACTGAACAACTCCTGGGAGACTATCCTTAGCCAAAAATATTTTCTGAACAGAAAGCAGGATAGAATAGATATGTTTTTATTCAAGGACTAAACTAGTCTAGCATGCCATCTTCCTAACAGTGCGAATGGAGAAAGTAATGGTAGAGGAAACAATGCTGTGTTGCCCAAGATGTGACGTGCTGAGAAACAGGTCTGTCGTATGGCATATTTCTTCTTTAGTCACTCATTGGTTCATCAGCAAACATTTACTGAATGCCTGTTGTGCTAGGCATTGTTGTCAGCTACACAGAAAAAAAAGATGGGAGGTACGGTGTCTGCTCTCACAGTCTAACGGGAAACCGAAGCATAAACAGCCATCTTAACCATGATGAAGAGTGCTATAATAAGGATATCAACACATTGCCATGGAGACACTGAGGAGGGAGTAATTAGCTCTGGCTGTGGGAATTGGGCAAAGCTCCACAGAGCAGGCAGCATTTGAGCTGGACGCTGAAGGATGAGTAGGTGTTTGTAAGGGAAGGGAAGAGGCTGTGAGAGAGGCTGTATTGTATAAAAAGATTTAAGTAATGTAAATGAGGTGCAAAGACCATTACATGAAAAACAGGCTACTCAAGTAAAGTTTATGGCTTGATATGCTTTTATGAAGGGCATCTTTTTAGAAGTTGAATGAATCAGTTCTCAGTTATAGTATTTAGTGTCCAATGAAGAAAAATATTAGAATCTTAACTATATTGTAGAGACTAATAACTCAGAAGTAATATATTTCCACTAAAACATAATTTTCCCTCTAAATTAGCATTTTTAGTTCTGTACTAGCATGTCCCCAGTTAGGGATTCTCTAGCTCTACTAAATAGAAGAAGCCTATTTCTTTTGTTTTTTTTAATTTAACATTTTATGTGCTAATTATAGTTGATATTCAATATTATTTTATACTAGAGGCCCGGTGCACGATTTGTGCATTGGTGGGGTCCTTTGGCCTGGCAGGCGATCAGGGCCAATTGGGGCCAGTCGCCCGGGGGGAGGGACTGCGGGAAATTGGCCAGCTGCAGAAGGTTGGCTGTGGCAGATGCACTGTCCACCAGTATCACTGATCTTACTAATCTAAACAGTTGGCCCATGTGTCTTTCTCCTACAGTAGTCTATGCTCCCCTTGATGCTTGCCTCTTAACATTATATCCAAAGTGCCATGTGCAATGTCTGACAATGTGCATGTTTGCTGAATGATGCAATGAATTAATTCTTGACATAATGCCATACATCAAAAAGTGCTATAATGACTCTAGCAACAAACAGTGAAAATTTGCTCAAAAATGCTAAGTATCTAAGAATAGCCAAGGGACACAGTCTGAATAAAGACAGGATTTATTGTGGTGGTCTACACAGCCCTAAGGTGATTTAAAATGTATGCCAAATACACTCAATCATTCTTTCTTACATTCACCAAACTTTACTATAAACATTTTTTATATATCAGATACTATGATAAATATATGAATACTGAGAGTAGTACAAAAGTGAGTAGAAAAAGACAAGGTCTCTGCCCAGGTAATATTTATAATCTAGTAGGCGAGAGACAAATAATCTCTTTTCACACATATTTGTTGAAAAAAATGTTATGAAGAGGTACACAGTATAGTAAGTCAATAAAGGGAGAAATGAATCCATTTAGCTGGGACTGGAGGGAGTAGGCTTAAGCCAAGTTAATCTAACGGAAAGGAAAGGAAAGAAAGTTCTGTGGAGAGGACAGAGGCAGCTACAAGCAGAGAACAAGGGGGCAGCACAGTACAAGGCGAGACCAGAGAGGAAGACACTTGAGCTATTTCTTGCCCTGAGAGCATTTAATAATCAGGGTTTTTAAAAAGTATTTATGGCGACCGCACAGAGAACATCTTAAAAAATATATATTTTACTGATTTTTTACAGAGAGGAAGAGAGAGGGATAGAGAGTGAGAAACATCAATTCACCTGCCTCCTGCACACTCCTTACTAGGAATGTGCCCATAACCAAAGTACATGCCTTTGACCGGAATCGAACCTGGGACCCTTCAGTCCACAGGCCGACGCTTTATCCACTGAACCAAACCCGGTTAGGGCGAGAACATTTTTGAAGGGACCAGGGCAGATGCAGGGAGACTGTTTTGGGAATCTATTAACATCACTTGTTATCGCTTGCCTCCTAAAAAGTGTCCCTGACTTAGCTTTTTATATTCCTTTCAAATTCACACATCACTGAAGAATGTACCTGCTGTGTAGTACAATGCAGTGAGTCCCTGTGTTCCTGGGAGGCTACCTCTTTGAGAGAATAAAAGTCTGTTCTAAATACACAAGAGCAGGCTGCATGTTGATCTGTCCAGACTAAAACTAGTCTATATATATAAAAGCCTAAGTGACCATTACGACCAGTTGACTGAACGACCACTCGACTGATTGCTATGATGCTCACTGACCACCAGGGGGAAGACACTCAACGCAGGAGTTGCCCCCTGGTGATCAGTGCGCTCCCACAGCCAACCTCCCGCAGTCCCTCCCCTGAGCCGTCCAGGGCCGAAGGAGAGTTTCTCGTGTAAGGACAGGATGTGGAAGAGGAGGGTGTTTGGGTACACGAGAAGGAGCATGTGCATAAGCGATGAGGAGAGAAACACCTGATATCTAGGGATGAATAAGTAGTAGGGAATATGGAGCAGAATAGTGAGAAATGAGAATAGAGAGGTAAACAGTTGTCAGGTCCCAGGGACTTTGATTACCTTGCAGTAATGTAATAAGAATCCGTGAAAGTTCAGGCAAGGTAAGAATGTGATCATACTAGTGATCCAGAGGAAATTCCAGAAAATCAGAAGCATAGTATAGAGAGATTACAGTGGAGACTGATAGTGACTCATGTTTGATTTCTGTGATGAAATGGAATAACCCAAAATAAGGTTCATGAACAATACCAATTTACCAGCATTAAATTAAAATCTCGTGAAATACAGCTGCTCTGCTGGATATCGTAGGAATGTCTGCTGTACAGTGAACTTAGAGTTAATGCTAGCAGCCTGAGCAGAAGAATAACTTTGAGAGCACACTAGAGAACAACTTCAAATAGTGGAGTACACACTGAGCCTCCAGGAATCCATAGTAACCAGCAGACCAGCCTGGCATGTAGTAATTCGAAAATCTGTAAGTGAAGATCTTCTGTAGAATGTGAACTACCTAAAAAAGCTGACAGTCTTGAAACTAGTGGTTAGAGACACAACCCAAAGAGCAAAGTTTCATTTGTGTATATTGTATAACGTAGACCTTAAGTCACAGACACATAGTCTTGTTCCTGCCCACAGGTTGTGATGCGCCTGCATGTCCTTACAGATGCCAAAGAGGGGCAAGGGTGGGTCGCTTTGGGGTACTAGATAGCTTTCAGTCTGCAGGGGGGAAACTCCATGCCATCTGTAATACCACTGCTGCTGAAACGGGTAGCAGCACTCACCTCTTAGTAGTCCCATAAATTGCACAAACGAGCATATAGAACTATACATAATAATGACACCTATGAATTTAAAAAGACAACAGGCAAAAGTTGTCTGACTTCAAAAAGTTAGGAACACACAACAGTTACAAAAAAATATGCTTTGGGACCGGGATCTCAACAAAAAAAAAAATTGAATATCTGAAAGTATAATATATTCTAAATAAAGTAAAATTATTCATTCTGTTGGTATTAACACATAGGACCACATTTGGAGGTTTATGTAAATCCTATTGTTTGGTGCATTTCAAATTACCAAACTAAGTATGCATATTCTTGATAACTTCCTGGCACCTCTAAAAATGCTGAGTTAAAATAAATTGGTTAAAATGCTCCAGACAGACTGTATTATGTGAAAAAGATAATACGAAGTTTCAATATAAATAGGGTCTTTTATCTGCATATACCGTTTCTTTAGCCTGAGACCTTCTATTTGCTCACAATGTGTTTGACTGTTTAAGCATTTAAGAATTCAGTGATGATCCATTTTATCCTTTAACTGTTTAGACTCTTAAAAGCTGATGCCCTCAGGGTTGAAAATGTAAGTCTTAGAACAGGCAGTCCTCTCACATATGTTCAACAACTATTATAAACCTCCTGTGACAGTTAAAACCACAATTCTGGCCCAGAGCCACATGGTATAATGAAGACAGTTCTTGGGGTAAGCTAAAAATTTGAAATTAGGCTGACTTCAGCCTATCATACTTTATACCCACACTTTTGAGGCGACATTTAAAACTACTGAGCCCTGAAAATCTATTACATGGAAGTACTTACCAAGATATGAATTTGAATGTATTTCTGTATTAAGATTGCTTTCCCCCAGTTTTTTAGTTCTTTACAACCCTCTTTCTTCCTGTAACCCTGTTGTTTGGCTCATCTTTCCCAGATAATGTCATTACTAGCCACTTCTTTGAGGAGTAATTAAGCCATGAACAGCCAGTAGTTTAGAACAGGTGAAATTAATGACTCCCAGGAAGCATGGTGCAGGCCTGAGCCCCAGGCTCTCCTTACAAATAGCTATGAGGGGAGCTGTAGAAACACGTGAGCATTGGAGGATGTTACAGTGAGGCTGCCTTGAACTTCAGTGGGACAGTTGACAGTTACATACATGTAGGTTTGCCTTCCAGAACAATTGTTGATTATACACATACTTTAGGCCTGGCGCACGAAATTCGTGCATGGGTATGGTCCCTAGGCCTGGCCTGCGATTAGGGCCATCTTCCCCAGTTGCTGGCAGCCAGCCCCGCCCACCACTACCACCCACCACCTACCACTCACCCCCAGTTCCCCATTCACCATTGGGCGAGCTGAGCCTGTCAGTCGGGGAGAAACCGAGAGGTTGGCCGTTCCCGCCCGCTTGCTGGCCTGGCCCCCCACCACGGGTCGCCCTCTGTGTGTGTGGGGGGGGCTGTCAGGGTGGGGGCCTTGGCCTGGCACCACCTGCATCCACCACCGCCCATCCCCGGTTTCCTGTTCCCCATTGAGCGATCAGAGCCTGTTAGCTGAGGGAAGGGACTGAGAGGTTGGCCAGCAGGCCCCCATCAGGTGATCGGGGCCTTTGGGCTGGGGGCAGCTCCTGCGTTGAGTGGCTGCCCCCTGGTGGTCAGTGCGCATCATAGAGACTGGTTGTTCTGCTGTTCAGTTGACTTGCATATTACCCTTTTATTAGAGGATAGTCTGAGGAGTTCAAATCATTTTCCTTGGAGGGTGATTATTTAGTTGTTTTATAATCTCCAGCTCACTGATTTTAAAAACTTTCAAATTAAATTAACTGACATATTTGATCTGGAAGAAAAATATCCATAAATTGTCAAATTTAATAGAATATCAATAGAATGCTAGCAGTGATTTTCACTTGATGACTAAAGACATGGAGTAGGATTTTCATGCAGATGTGTTTTATATGGCCCCTGAGAAGTAGATTTGACATTTCTAAAAGAATATGTGTATATAATTTTTTTATTATTTAAATACTATTTATGAAATCCTTTTAATTCAGAACCTGTGCCCCCAGAGAGCTATGATTTGGTTAAGTTAGGTCATAGAAGTATACCAAAAATAAAATAGTTACATTTGAGTAAGGGAATATTGGTAGTTCAAGCTGAGAGAAAATTTGGGAGGACTGTGAAAGCTAAGAGTTTGGATTTAATGCAAGAGCTGGGTGCTGGCATGAAGATGAGTGTAAAGTCATGACTAGTGGTAAATGCAGTATTAATGGAGAAGGCTCCCCCCCCCACACACACACCCCATATTCATTTAAAAAATGTATAGATAATTTGGGGGGTTCTTTAGTCATAATGATTAGAGTTAGATCCTTAGGGGTTTGAGCCTGGGTGAATGCAGTTACCTGTTAAAGACCATGGCTGTGGAAGTCAGTTTTTATGTCATCAATTTGAAGAGTTAGATGAAACTATAAGAGGAGATAAGCTGGAAGCAGCCAATAATCTTGGATGCCTTAACTAGTATAGATTGAAAGTGGTAAGGGGCATTGATGGTGACGGAATGGGGAGCGAACTATTTAGGAGGCAAGCATGGATATTACCTTTTGTAAAACATTACTTAGCAGTGGCTGAGGTATTTTTATTTATTTATTTATAGAATATGGCCCATCTCACTCTAAGAAAGCTTATTTGAAAATCCAAGCTTTGAAAAGAAGACAAATTAAGAAATAATTGCATTTAAAATGATTCTTCATTTTCAGCAG